TTAATTTCCTCTCAGATCATGATCCCAGGGTCATGCAATAGAGCCCTGTGTTCAGGGTCTGAGCTGAGCATGGAAACTGATGAGGATTCTCTCTCTCTCTTGCCCCTCTGCCCCTCTCCCTGCTCATGCTCTCTCTCTCTCAAATAAAAACATTACATTTAAAAAATAAATAAAATGTACAAATTCTATATGGGCAACTCAAAATTGTACATACATACCTATACATATGTATATATATGTCTGTGTAACCAACATAAACCAAGGTACATATATTCAAAATCCAAGAAGGCTCCTTCATGAGCCTCCCAGCTAATAAAACCCTTTCACAGGTGACTGCTATACTGACTTCTATCAGTATAGACTGGTATTTTGCCTATTACTGTAAACTTTACTTTCATGGAATACCCACTATGTATCCTGATGTATCAATTATTTTATAGTCTATCTTGCCCACCAGAATGCAAGCGTCATGAGGGTTGGGTATTACCTGCTTTACTCAGTGCTGTATCCACAGTGTCTATAAACAGGACTTGGAACATAGAAGGTGCTCAATAAATATTCACTGAATGAATGAATAATCAAAATAGCATCATTAAGCTTTCCTTTCCTTTGGAACCTTGAAGGGCAAAAGTTATTTTTCATTAGAATTATCTTCATTATTATTACAAATACCTATGGAAATCAGATATTCACAATCAAGCCTAAAACTTGGATAGAATTGTTTTAGGGTTAATTTAGAGATTCCTATACTTAACGAAAATCCTAAAGCCAAACCTTCTGTGATTACTTTTACATTTAGGTAACGAGGTTCTGCAATATAGCAATTACATTATACTAACACCCTTATAAAACAGGTTGAACTGGAGGGCCCAGGGCACAGGTATCTTATAACTCTAGTATGTTCTTTTATTCTATTCTCACAGTTTAATAAATATTGAACAGTTTTCACTAGAAAAGATAGTGTTTAGTGAGCCCTCAAAGCATTCATTTAGCAAATTAAGACAGTTTAATTACACTGGCAATTTCTCCTGAGACAGTGCTGTTACCGTATTTGCAGAGGTCAGAAATTCTTCACGAAAATGGAAATTTCACTCCCACAATGTTCCATGGAATTAATATGTTCAAATTATATTTTCAAGATTACTTTCATATCATTATTTCATCAACTGATCCTAACCAAAAATTCTGGAGTAACTAATGCTATTCTTTGTAGGTGAGAATCTAAGAATAAAGCAGAGTGCTGGGTAGAAATAATGAATGCATTTGCATCCATTGCTTATTTAGAAGTGTATTTCTTAATTTCCAAATGTTTAGAAGATTTTTAAAGTTTCCTTTTGTTTCTGTTATTAGCTTAACTGCACTATCATCAGAAATTATATTCTTGTGTTTGAAAATAATACATACTATGGAGTTGCTGGATATGATATTCTACATCAATTAAGTGTGCTGACTGTATTGTTAGCTAAAATCTTTATCTTGCTGATATTTAGGCTGTGATTAGTATTAGAAATTATCACTTTCTTTTACTCCAAAGATTAGGGAAGAACATTTGCAAATCACATATCCATCAAAAAAGTGTATCTAGAATATATATAGAGTTCTTTAAAAAAAGAGTAAGAGAAGAATAATGGGGAAACATTTGAACAGCCATTCATCAAAGAAGATATATGATGCTCAACATCATTAGTCATTAGAGAGATACAAAGTAAATCTCTGCTGAGATGAAATACACCTATTAGAAAAGCTTGAAAAGAAACAAAACAAAATGGACAGTACCACATGCCAAAAAAGAATGTGAATTAGAACTTGTAAATATTGTGAGTCAGGATACAAAGTGGCTTGGTCACTTTGGAAAACAGTTTGGCAGTTTCATGTAAAGCTAAATATACATTTACCATATGACCCAGCCATCCCACTCTGGGGTTTTTACCCTACAGAAATGAGAACTTAAATGCACACAAAAAACTGTAAATGATTTTTCTGCAGTGGTCTATTAATAAAAAAACCAAAAAACAACCACAAACAAGCCAGATGTTCTTCAATGGGTGAATAAACAAACAAACAAAAAGGAATGAACTATTGAAACACACAATAACTTGGATAAATCCTAAATGCATTACCGTAAAAAGCCAGTCTCAGAAGGTTACATAATATAGGATTCCATTTATAAGACATTTTGAAAAAGACCAAAATTTAGAGTCAGAGAACAGACCAGTGGTTGCCAGGGATTAGGGGGAAGTATAAGGTTAGATTACAAAGGAGCAGCATGAGTGAGATTTTATGGGATAATGGATTATCCTTATTCTGATTGTGGTAGTGGTTACATGAATCTATACATGTGTTAAAACTTACACAACTGAACCCATACACACACTTAAAAGAATCCTTTTACTGTATTATTTTAAAAAACAAACTATCCCCCTGCTCCCTCACCTCGAATCTTTTTTCTTTTTTTTTTACCCTGAAATTCTCAGTCATTCTTTACTTTTCTACAATTTCTTTCCCTTACTCATATAATCTCTTAGATATATAAAATGCTATTTTCTTTTTTAAAGTGTTTTTTTTTTTTTAATGTTTTATTTAGTTTTGAGAGAGAGAGACAGCATGAGCAGGGGAGGGTCAGAGAGAAAGGGAGATACAGAATCCGAAGACAGGCTCCAGAGCTAGCTGCCAGCACAGAGCCGAACACAGAGTTTGAACTCATGAACCGTGAGATCATGACCTGAGCCGAAGTCGAATGCTTAACCGAATGAGCCACCCAGGTGTCTCTAAAATGTTATTTTCTTAAGTATGCCATGTTCTCTCTTAATTTCAGGTCTTTATTCATGGTGCTGGTCTATGGTGAAAACTACTCTCTTGGCTAATTCTTATTCATCCTTCTGGCTTTGGTAAATTGCTTCTTATAATAAGCCTTCCCTAACCTCTGCTGCCAGGCTGGATTAGATGTTTGGTCATATATTCCCATATCGTTCTGCACTTTCCCTTTCATATCTTCCCATTTTTGTCAGTGCATGATCCATTTCTTTCTCCCCCACCATCTGTGAACTCCATGATAGTTCATAATAGCAGAGATAGTTGACGTTTTGTGAAGTACCGCTTAGCACCAACACTGTATAAGGCACCTAACAGATCCACAACAATGAATGCTCTAAGACCTATTTGTGATTTGTGGATTGCTATAAATAACCTGTTCTATTCTCTGATTTTTTCAATCTACATTTTAAAGGCAGACAGAAAACATCTTACCTCTTTTTTTCTAAATATTATTTCAAACACACTTTTGCTTGTGATATTCAGTTAAGTATTGCCTTTATGTACCCTCTCTCCTCTACTCTTTGTCCTTTTTCTTTAGGATGCTGTAAAATTCCCCTCCACATTCACTGAACATCTGCACATTTTCTTCTAAGTTCTCAGTATCCACACACAACAGAAACACCCTTTCCTGGCATTTTCTGTCAGTACAAATTAGGTTTCTAAATAACCCTGTCAACTGAAAATTTAAATTAATTTAATCTGGCACTCTACATTCATGGTTTTCTTAGAGTTTTAAACCTAATAATTTAAACACAAAAATCCTACCTTAACCAAATCAATAAACAGCAATATGGTTAATTATGTATGAGATCCAGCATGTCACTTAAATTAAAAAAGGAAAGTCTAATATCCTTTGTATGATAGTGGTCAGTGAGAGCAGATATCACGGTACACTACCTTTAGCAAACTGCTAAGGACTAACATGACTGAATTTAGTGGTCATTTTATTGTTAACCACAGTTTAGTTCACACAGGTGAAGTTCCATTAGTTTTAAACCTTATAATAAAAAACAAAATGCACAAATATTGACAACTACATGACATTTTGGAGAATCAGCTTAAAAAATAACCCACAAATAGAGATGGGATAGGGGAAGAGGCCCATTTTAAAGAAAACAGGAAGTTCAAGAGAGCCTTACTTACACATTTTAAATGGAATCAGACAAATAGATTTGCAAGTTACAAACACTCAGAATTACCAGATCCAGTCATGTGAGGAAAGCCAATCTTTGGTTTGTTAAAGGAGAGACTGACACAAACTTTGTGAAATATAAGAACCCTCCTTTCCTACAAGAACAAAGCCAGGTGAGGCCCTGAACAATAAAACCACCACATGGAACAAAATTTCCAGTGTGTATATTAAAATAAGTTCAAAATAACTATCCAAGGAAAATGTAACTCCCTTTCAGGCTGCTATCCTTATTAGGATTGCTAATTTGTCTCAAGAGAATATAAAACCTATCACCAACTCAAACAATGATTACTTATAATTCCACTTTTCATCTATTATATAGAAAAGTTGTGCTCCAGGTACTTCTAAAGAAATATAACTTCATGATTTAAAAAATCATGAGAAAGAATTTAGATAGAGACATACTAATTAAGGACAGGAGTCTTCCAGGGTCTTCTGGAAGGAGAAAAGTTTCACACAATTAAAAAGTTATTACAAAGTTATATACAGAAGAAGCCAATGACTGTAAATTCCATCTTTTATTAATAAAGGGATATGTCACACAGGAGAAAGACAACCAAAATGTTAACATACTTCATTTTGTGCTTTATAAGTAAAAATTTATAATGATGTCACTAAATGAGGAAACAAGTGAAGTAACACAAGTTTCAGTGAGGTGAAAGTATTTTTGTAATAATGAATATAAATGCAAATATCCCTACTTTTCCTGTTTTTATTTTGTAAAATAAAAAGTCTAAAGGTACTATCTCTTATGGTCTGCAAGGATTATCTTTATAACATAAAAACATAAAAATAACAAAATATCCACTTTAACCATTCTTCTCCTCAGATATTAAATCTTAAGTGATTGTGAATATACTTATATTCAGAGGAAAATTTCTGTGCCATCAAGCTGGCAGCACTGCCCAGTTATGCCATTGGTTGCCTAATCCTAAAACTCTGATACAGAGTAAATGCAGCCTAACTCAACATCAAGTTAATTCTCTTCACTTACCCTTGCATAGTGGAATTCAACTCCATAGAGTTCTAAGGTACGTGCTGTGTTCAGATAATTAAATTCTGCTTCTGCAGGAGATAAGCCTCTGTAAAGACAGTATGTTAAAAAAAATTATACCAATCACAAATATGGCCAAATTGGAAAAAAAAAAAGCTCCTATTTAATCTAGAAGATTTTCAGTATTCTAATTAAACATGTTATAATACATCATGAATGACTAGTTCTCTTAGTTGTGTATAGTAATATTTAGCTGTGTACTTAGCTAGAGGGTAAATTTTCATTAACACAAATCGTTATTTTATAGAATACTTCATTTTCCAGAAATAGAAGAATGTACCAGGGGATTTGGAGACAGGGAACCCTTGTGCACTGTTGGTGAGAATGCAAACTGATGCATTCACTGTGGTAAACAGTATAGAGGTTCCTCATAAAGTTAAAAATACAAATACCATATTGAAGGGGACTCTTTGAGTGGGGGAAAAACACCAAAAGCAACAAAGTCTAGAAAGAAACAGAGAACATCAATATCACCCAAAACACTAACTTTACAAGTAACACAATGGCACTAAATTCATATCTATCAATAATCACTCTGAATGTAAACGGACTAAGGCCCCAGTCAAAAGACATAGGGATAAAAAACAAGATCCACCTATGTGCTGACTACAAGAGATGCATTTCAGACCTAAAGACACCTGCAGATTGAAAGCGAGGGGATGGAGAACCATCTATCATAATAATGGACGTTAAAAGAAAGCCAGGGTAGTCATACTTGTATTAGACTTATACTGTAATTAAATTTTTATATAATTTAGTTTTATTTTAAATATATTAATTTTAATTTAATTACATATAATTATATTTAACATTATATATTTTGTAATTATAAGTCTAATATATATAATACATATCATGTTACTTATAGTTTTTTTGAGAGAGAGAACATGCGTGTGCGCATGAGCAGGGGACAGAGGCAGAGGGAGAAAAAGAGAATCTCAAGCAGGCTCTATGCCAAACACAGACCCCACTGTGGGGCCTGATGCCATGACTGTGAAATCATGACTGGAGTCAAACTCAACACTGGGACACTTCTCCAACTGAGTCACTCAGGCACCCTGTGACAAACTAGATTTTAAACCAAAGAATGTAACAAGAGATGAAGAAGGGCACTGCATCATAATTAATGGGTCTATCCATCAAGAAGAACAATTGTAAATATTTATGCCCTTGTGCCCCCAGGTTGGTAGCATCCAAATAAGTAAATCAATTAATCACAAACATAAAGAAACTCATTGTTAATAATACAATAATAGTACGGGCCTTCAATACCCCACTTACAATAATGGACAGACCATCAAAGCAAAAAATCAGCAGTAAAACATATCTTTGAATGACATGATGGACCAGATGGACGGACTTAACAGATTATATTCAGAACATTTCATCCTAAAGCACCAGAATAAACATTATTTTCGAGTGCATATGGAACATTCTCCAGAACAGATCACCTACTGGGTCACAAAACAGCTCTCAACAAATACAGTAAGACTGAGATCTTACCATGCATATTTTCAAACACAAAGCTACGAAATTGAAGTCAACCACAGGAAAAAATTAGGAAAGAACACAAATACATGAAGGTTAAAGAAGTTCCCACTAAAGAATGAATGGGTTAACCAGGAAATTAAAGAAGAAATAAAAAATATATATATATGGAAGCAAATGAAAATGAAAACTTGATAGTCCAAAACCTTGGGGATGTAGCAGAGATTGCAATACAGGGCTACTTCAAGAAGCAAAAAAATTCTCAAATATACAACCTAACCTTATACCTAAAGGAACTAGAAAAGAAACAGCGAATAAAGCCTAAACCCAGCAGAAGGGAAATTATAATAAAGATTAGCGTGGAAATAAATGATACAGAAACAAACAAGAACAACAACAACAAAAAAGACAGTACGACATACCAAAGACTAAAGTTTGAGCGGATTCTTTGAAAGAATTAATGAAACTAATAAATACCTAGCTAGGTTTATCAAAAAGAAAAGAGAAAGGACTCAAATAAAATCATGAAAGAGATCACGACCAACACCAAAAAAATACAATTATAAGAGAATATTATGCAAATGATATGCTAGAGCATCTGGGTGGCTCAGTTGGTTAAGCATCCAACTTGATTTTGGCTCAGGTCATGATCTCACGATCGTGAGATCGAGCCTGGCATCCTCCTCCATAGTGAGTATGGAGCCTGTTTGGGATTCTCTCTCTCGCCCTCTCTCTGCCCCTCTCCCACTTGCTCTCTATCTCTCAAAATAAATAAACACACATTAAAAAAAAAAAAAAGGATGTGGCAACAAACTGGGCCATCTGGAAGAAATGGACAAATTTTTAGAAACATTCAAACTACCAAAACTGAAACAGGAAGAAAGAGAAAATTTGAAGACACCCATGACCAGCAAAGAAACTGGATCAGTATTAGAAATTCTCCCAACAAACAAAAGTCCAGGACCAGATGGCTTTCCAGGGGAATTTGAACAGATACCTGAAGAAGACTTAATACTTAGTTTTCTCAAATTGTTCCAAAAAATAGAAATGGAAGAAAACTTCCAAACTCATTCTATAAGGCCAGCATTAGCTTGATCCCAAAGCCAAAGACCCAACTGAAAAGGAGAATTACAGGCCAATATCCCTGATGAACATGAATGCAAAAATTCTCAAAAAGGTACTAGTAAATCAAATTCAACAGTACCTTAAAAGAATTATTCACCACAATCAAGGGGGATTTATGCCTGGGCTGCAGAGCTAGTTCAACATTCACATATCAATCAACATGATACACCACATTTTAAAAAAAAGAGTAAGAACCATATGATCCTGTCAATAGATGCAGAAAAGCCATTTGACAAAATACAGCACTTATTTTTTTTAAGCTTTTTTTTTTTTTTATATTTTATTTATTTCTGAGAGAGAGAGAGAGAGAGACCGCGTGAGCAGGGGAGAGTGAGAGAGAGGGAGACACAGAATCCGAAACAGGCTCCAGGCTCTGCGCTAGCTGTCAGCAGAGAGCCCGATGTGGGGCTTGAACCCACAAACCATGAGATCATGACCTGAGCCAAAGTCAGACACTTAACCGACTGAGCTACCCAGGGGCCCCTACAGCACTTATTTTTGATAAAAGTTCTCGACAAAGTAGATTCAGATAGAACATATCTCAATGTCATAAAGGCCATGTATGAAAGACCCACAGCTAATATCATCCTCAACTGGGAAAAACAGAGTTTTTCCTCTGTGGTCAGAAACAAAACAGGGATGTCTACTCTCACCGTTACTATTCAACATGCTACTGGAAGCCTTGGCTTCAGCAATCAGACAACAAAAAGAAATAAAAGCATCCAAATCGGCAAGGAAAAAGTCAAAATTTCAACTATTTGCAAATGACATGATACTGTATGTAGAAAACCCAAGACTCCACCAAAAAAACCTGCCAGAACTAATACATGAATTCAGCAAAGTTACAGGATATAAAGTCAACATACAGAAATTGGTTTTCTATACACCAATAATGAAGCAGTAGAAAAAGAAATCAAGGAATCAAAATGTAACCAAACTGGTAAAACATCTGTACTCTGAAAACTACAGAACACTTATGAAATAAATAGAAGAGGACACAAAGAAATGGAAAGCCATCCCATACTGATGGACTGAAGAACACTGTTAAAATGTGTACACTATCCAAAACAATCTATACATTTAATGCAATCCCTATCAAAATACCACCAGCATTTTTCACAGAGCTAGAACAAAAAAATCCTGAAATTTGTATGGAATCACAAAAGACCCTAAATAGCCAAAAGTAATCCTGAAAAAGAATAGCAAAGCTGGAGACATCACGATTCTGGGATCCAAGCTCTATTACTAAGCTGTAGTCATCAAGAGAGTATGGTACTGGCACAAAAACCGACACATAGACCAATGGAACAGAATACTCAGATATGGACCCATGACTATACTGTCAACTAATCTTCAACAAAGTAGGAAAGAATATCCAATGTAAAAATGTATATTCAACAAGTGGTGCTGAGAAAACTGGATAGCAACATGCAGAAGAATGGAACTGGACCACTTTCTTACACCAGCCACAAAAATAAATTCAAAATGGATGAAACATCTAAATGTGTGACAGGAAACCATCAAAATCTTGCAGGAGATGAGAGACAGCAACCTCTTTGACCTCAACCATAGCAACTTCTTATTAAACACATCACTAGAGGCAAGGAAAAAAGGAAAAAATGAAATACTGGGACTTCATCAAGATAAAAAGCTTCTGCACAGCAAAAGAAACAATCAACAAAACAAACTGACAACCAACAGAATGTGAGAAGATATTTGCAAATGACATATTTGATAAAGGGTTAGTATCTAAAATCTATTAAGAACTTACGAAACTCAACACCCAAAAACAAATGATTCAGTTAAAGAAATGGGCAGAAGACGTGAATACATATTTTTCCAAAGAAGACATTCAGATGGCTAACAGACACATGAAAAGATGTTCAACGTCACTCATCATCAAGGAAATACAAATCAAAACCACAATGAGATACCACCTCACACCTATCAGAACGACTAAAACTAACAACACAAGAAGCAACAGGTGTTGGTGAGGTGGAGAAAGGGGAATCCCTTGCACTGTTGGTGAGAATACAAACTGGTACAGCCACTCTGCAAAATGATATCCTCAAAATGTTACAAATAGGACTAACCTATGATCCAGGATTAAACTACCAGGCATTTATTCAATGTATATAAAAAAAACAGATTCAAAAGGGTACCTGCACCCCAATGTTTATAGCAGCCTTATCAACAACAGCTAAACTATGGAGAGCCCCTATGTCCCACTGACAGATGAATGGATAAAGATGATGTGGTATATACATATAATGGAATATTACTCAGCCATCAAAAAGAATGAAAATTTTCCATTTGCAATGACATAGATGGAGCTAGAGTGTTAAGCAAAATAAGTCAGTCAGAAAAAGACAAATACCATATGATTTCCCTCATATGTGGAATTTAAGAAACAAAGCAGATGAATATATGGGAAGGGATAAAAAAGAGAGAGAGAGAAACAAACCATAAGACACTTAATACAGAGAACAACCAGTGTTGATGGGGGAGGGGGAATGTGCTAGATGGGTTATGGGTATTAAGGACCCATAATTAAGTGTTATGATGAGCACTGAGTGTTGTCTGTAAGTGATGAGTCAATGAATTCTACTCCTGAATCCAATATTGTACTGTATGTTAACTAAAATTTAAAAAGAAAAAAAATTACTTATAAGAAATGAATGAAAGAATGAATAAGTAATTAAATAAGAAATATCATATGATCTAGTAATTCCACTACTGGGTATTCACCCCCCAAAAATGAAAACAATAACTCAAAAAGATATATGCCCTCCTCTGTTTGTTGCAGCATCAAATACTGTAGCCAAGATATGGAACCATGCCAGTGTCCACTGATAGATGAATGGATAAAGATCTGGTGCGGAATGGAGAACGGATAAAGACGTGGTGCGTATATATACGATGGCATATTACTCAGCCATAAAAAAGAATAAGATCATGCCATCTGTGACAAAATGGACAGACCTAGAGGTGAAATAAGTCATACTAAGAAAGACAAACACCGTATGATTTCACTTATATGTGGTATCTAAAAAATGAATAAACAAAAAGCAGAAACAGACACAGAAATAGAGAAAACTAATGGCTGCCAGAGGGGAGGGCTGTGGGTGGATGGGCAAAATGGGAGAAGGAAAATAGGAGATACAGGCTTCCAATGACAGAATGAGTTCAGCACAAGTGTACAGCATAGAGAACACAGTCAAGGGTGCTGTAATAGTGTATGGTGACAGGTGGTAACTACATTTGTGAGTGTAGCATTAAGGAACAGACTTGTCAAATTACTGTGTTGTATATCTGAAACTAATATAACTATGTGGCAGCCATATTAAAAACAAAAACAAAAACAGGTTTTTAAAGTCCCTCGGTGTTCTTATTGCTGACAAAGTCATTTATTCCCTGAAATAATTAGTGAAAGAAGTGATTTTCAAGATTTGGTCCATATACTGTATCTGCATTAATCCAAACAGTTGCTTCTAAAACATGGAAGTTTTTTGAGACAATCTCCAGAGCAGCGCTGCTCAGAGCAGGTGTTGATTCACTGCAAGCACCGGAACGGACAGTGGCCGTCTTTTATGTTTTATAGCACTCTGACAGAGTAATTTCATGTCTGTGGAATCTAAGGTGTGTAACTTTTTATGTCTCTATTTCTCCATTTTACTTTTCTAGTAATTGAATTTTATTACTTTTTCAGAAGTTTCATTCATTCAAACGGGAAAAACTGGTCTTTTATCAGTTTCAGAAATACTATTGTACTCTGTACAATCGGATATAGAATGGATAAGGTACTAAACTGTTTATACTTAAGCAATGTCTCAGGTGATTCTTATGAACACAAGTTTGCTCTAGCAAAGCCATTAGAAGTAGTTTTACTCCTGTATTATATACATTTCTAACAACCTTAGTTATCTGATATTATTTGACTACAGCAGAGCAAAAGCAGCAAATTACAAAAGCAAAAAATATCAACCTTTCACTCACTAATGATACCAGAAAAGGAAGCCGACAGCCTACCAATGCATGATCATAAAAATGAGATTCCAAAAAAAAGTACATACACCTCAATCTTCTGTAAAATTCAATTAGGTTAAATAAATGCTCTACTTCCTCACCCCAAACCCCACTCTTCAAACTGGATGATTCTATCTTTCTTTGTTTAAAGATCTGAGGAATCATTTCTTTAAATCAAATACAAATATATAATCAATACCTTGTCAAATGCACAAGCTTTTTCCTTACAGAAAAGACTTGCCTTTATTGGTAAATTTTTTAAAAATCTGGTTTATCTTCAAATCCTTGATTTGGAGATGTAAGAACTTTTACTACAAATGGCATTTACTGTTAGACAAAAATAGCCCCTTCATCTCACTAGGCCAGTTTATTAAAATTCTCATTTTATTAGTCTTATTTTAGATCAGAGGTCAGCAAACTTTTATTGAAAAGAGTGAGACAGTGAATACTTAAGGCTTTTAGATCACACAGTCTCTGCTGCAAGCACTCAACTCTGCTGTTACGTGAAAGCAGCCATAGGCATGGAAACGAGTAAGGGAATCTGTGTTCCAGGAAATGTTCGCTTACGGACAGTGAATTGGAATCTGTCAAAATTTTACATGCTACAAAATGTTATTTTCCTTTTTATGGTTTTCTCAACCATTTAAAATGTACAGATCATTCTTAGCCTGTGGACCATACAAAAATAGGCAGTAGGTCAGTCTGTCGACCTGTGTTAGGTACATGGGCCATTACCAAATGAAAGTAAAGTTTCCTTAATATTAAGAGCCAATATTTCTTCAGTGTTTACCATGTGCTAGGCACTGAGTACTTTGTAGATATGAATTCATGTAATCCTTACATTAACTTTAGAGATAGGCATTTTTATTAGCTCCAATTTACATAAAAGCAGAGATATAGAGCAATTTAGTCAACATTTTAAGACCATGGTCTTTTTTAAAAAATTTTATTTATTGTAAGAGAAAGGCAGAGAGAGAGAGAGAGGGAAAGGGAATCCCAAAAGCAAGCTCCATGCTATCAGCGCAGAGCCCGACAAGGAGCTCAATCTAAGGAACTTTGAGATAATGACCTGAGCCAAAATTGAGTCTGGACACTTAACTGACTAAACCACACAGGCACCCCAAAAGTTGTCTTAACCAGAATTTCAGACCAGGCAGTCTGGATCTCCAGTTCACACTCTTAGCCAATATGCCGCACTGCCTTTATTTCCTCCGAGAGCATTCTGAATTGTATGCTAAAGCAAACTCTGAACCAATACACAATTTTATTTTCTATTCAAAGCAAGGAATCTCTTCTTGAAACAAATTACGTCACAGAAAACTAAGACTCACAAAATATCAAAGTTGACTACTGTTATGAATGAAAAAATGCTACTTTTTTTAAAAAGTACTTTTACAAATATTATTTTAGTATTACATAAAGTTCCTTTTTTCCTCTTGGCTCATTACCAAACAAATGATTCTTTTCACATAGCTAAAATCTAAGAAACAATTGCTAAGTAGATTGATCTATAACAACTGATCTGTGAAGATACTATTAATATTCCAAAATTCCTTCCTAAAGAACTACCAACTTTATAGAATACCAAATTCTGTTGACACAGAGTTTAGTAGTTCTTAGTAGAAACAGAAAAAAAGGTCTTAGTCTCTGAAATTAGTAATGATTTTTCTAGTATAGATAACCCACGCTTCCTTACATCAATCACACCATTTTACATTAATAACTGTTCTATATTAAATAAATACAACATTCACATTAGAAATAATTTAAAACATTTCTCTAGAAAAGACGCCATTAAGAAGTTTATGAAATAAGCAGAAAAAAATAAATAAATCCTTACGTATGCTGCTGATGTAATTTTGCAATTTCTTTTTCAAAATCTTGAGGTTGATTAGGAATGAAAGAATAATCTGAGAGGTAGCCTGGCAAGTTTTCTGACTGATTGTAGTCTCCAACTTCAGCTATTATATGGGAGGAAAATATTCACAATTTAATAAACACATTTTGTAATTCTGATAGCTAAATAAGAAAGGTCATGAATTCATTATAGTTCTGCAAGTAAAGTACTTGTTTTTACTGCTGGCTACCATGTAAGCAAATTACAACAATACACTTAACTTTTCTAGGTCTCAAACAACTTCAGAAACACTTTCTTTTAGGAAACTAATTGCTAACTAACTGGATGTTTCATTACATTTTCTTTGCAATCACTTTTTTCTGTATAAAAACATATGTCTAAGAACTCACATATTACAGATAATGTACTACCAACACAGACCGTGCAATCACATGCTCTATGACCCAAAAGTGAGCTGATACTTACACTGAACAGCAAATGAAGCCAAAAGGGCAGCAGTGTTATAAGGACAGGGCAATCTAAGAAAGCAAATTAGAAAACACGTACCCCAGGGTTAAACACCGTAATTTCAGAAGGACTGTAATTTATATCATACTACTTACATATGAAGTTTCCATGTGACTTACTTTATAAATATTAAGTAGTGAACTTATCTGATGAAAAAAATTCATGCTATATGTAACCATTTTCAATAATTTGTTTGCAATGATCATGAATTACTTAAATAATACAGAATTGAAAGTACATTTAAAGCCTGTTACTAAAAATGTAAAATAGCCCACCTTCCAGTAAGAATGTCTTGTTTAATTTGCAAAAAATACTGGTACCTTAAAAAAAAAGAGAGAGCGAGCATTTAGCATTTACTGGAATTAGAACTGTAGACTTACATTAACCAATAAAATTGAAATATTTAATATTTGCTTTTATAATCTACATATTAGCACATGTAAATATATTTTTAAATAAGCTTTCATATTTCATGAATTTCAATCATTAAAATTCTTTGATAGACAAAATTCTGTACTTCAAATACCTTATTTCCATTAGCTTCTATTATAAAATTTCTCAACATCTTTAAGAGTTACATGACCAAATTAAAGAGATTAAAGAGAATACTCTAAGATTGGTGTCTGTAGAAATTAGAACTAGGAAGCATAGAAAACTTGAGTCAGAGACACCAGAGAGTTGACAGTAGCAGCGCACTAGGGATCAACTGGAGAAAATCATCCTTTCTGCTGAGAGGCAAAGGCACACCTATAATCATCTTATCATTATGCTGCCCCCTGCTGGAAGCTGCTAATTGTAGAAAAATACCTTTCTATTTTGAGTTAAGAAAGCTCTCTTTGATCAGGAAAAAAAAAAGCAAGATCCCTTCTCTACCATTAGAATGATCAAGTAAGCATATTCCTTTAAAGCCAACAAAAATACAAGATTTCTATAAAAAAGAATACTGAGTTGCTTACAAGCTGGCATTGTCCTTCAGTCCCAGCTAATGGGGTAAGTCATTCCCTCACAGGTGTGTTAATGCTTGCAGCCACAAACCTGTGCTGTATAACACTGGCAGAAGACCAAATTTTGTGGTTTTAAGTGCTTAAACAGGAAAATTTAAGACTTTAATTTTTTTTAACTCTTACTCATTTTTGAGACAGAGAGACACAGAGCATGAGTGAGGAAGGGACAGAGAGAGAGGGAAACACAGAATCTGAAGCAGACTCCAGGCTCTGAGCTTTCAGTGCAGAGCCCAATGTGGGGTTCAAAATCACGGCCTGTGAGATCATGACCTGAGCCAAAGTCGGACGTTCAACCGACTAAGCCACTCAGGTGCCCCTTTAAGACTTATTTCACCCCACTGAAAAAAGCATAAACACTCCAAGATTCAAAAATCATTAACAATTTTAGTTGTCTGGCTGATTTAAATTATTAGTTACATGACAATATTTAAATTTCTAAAGAATATAATTAAGGATTTCAGATAATCAGATATTCACTAAAATTTTTTTCTTAAAAAGCGGATACAAATATCCTGACTTCATATATTAATGAAGTATGTAAATTCCCTGTGAGAATTAATACATAATACTGTAAATATTATCTACTTATTCAATCTAAGACAATATATTTCTATCTAGTTTACCTGGTTTCGTAATTAAAAGTTAAAACTTCCTGGTGGGAAACAATCTCATAGTTAAGATTAAAAAGGCATGGATATCTTTGACAAAATACTGTAATCTTACGCAAATAATATTCATGCCTGTCAAATTTTATTTACATACCAACCAGTAAGGATTGATACAATGGAGACCAGAATTCAAGTTGTAAGCTAAACCAGACTGTGTTCTTCAGAAAATTACTTAAAATCTGGCTGAGCCTTAGTTTCTAGAATTGTAAAAAAGGAAGTAATATCACCTGTTTGGTGTATGTATCCCAGGGGTCCTAAATAAGGTGACAAAAGCCCAATTTTTACAATTAAGGCTTTTAAGATAGATTAATGATGCTTGAGGTAAATATAGAGATAACATGTTTAATCTCTAAAAATAATATAACTTTTCTAATCCAGACAATAACCAATACCATGAAGACTTATTATGTACTGAGTACATCTAGGCACTAAAAAGGTACCAAAGAACTGTTACTTGTACCATCATGACTGCTTGAGAAAATTCCAATTCTAAGGATACCAGCACCTGCTAATACTGAAGGACCCGCAGTCTGATGAAAGCTCTACAGACCCACTCTTTCCTACCACTAATCTAAAATGGAATCTCAAGGTAAGGAGGTGTAGCAGATTTCCTGTTCTGTGGGTTTAAACTAGTCCTTAAAATTTAGCGACTGTGGCTGCAGGTGTCATCTTACTCATCATGACCACTGCACTGCAGCAGCCCAAGCAGTGACGTTTTAAAGGAGTATTTCTTGACCCTGGCTGCACATGAGAATCAGATGGGAAGCTTGCGATTGATGCCTATGCACAGGTCCATCTGAGATCGAATTGAATCAGAATATCTAGGAGGTTTGTCCAAGGCATCAGTATGTTTTAAAGCTCCCCTAAGTGATTCTAAGTTGTAGTCGGAGCAGAGATTCACTAATGTACACTACGGTAATATAATAAAAACTAGGTACTTAACTCATTTTTACCAAACAGCACCAGATATAAGACACTAGGACATTCTATCATAAAGGATTTTTGAATGAATACATTATTTCTAGAGAAAACAAAGATAACCTTCTTGACAACAGACTGAGCACAAATTAATTTCTCGATTACTACCAAACTTGGCTTTACCTTCTTCTACTTCAGGAAGATATTTTGATTTATCACTAAGATACATTTATTCTTTGATTACGTTTTCAACTCAGGCTTTAAAAGAATCAACACATTCAAGCTTCATTAAAAAATTCAAAGACATTCTTTTGAGTGAAGTAAATTATGGATTGGCTACAATTGATAGTATTTTAATTGCTATGCTAACAAACATTTCATAGTTAAACACATTAGAAATCTAACTTTAAATAATTAGTCTTTTAATTACAAATATTTCTTATACATTTAAAAAATTGATTACATAAAACATGTATTATAAAACACTTTGCTGCTTTATTTCAGGTTATATTTACCAGCAAATAGTAAAATGCACTTTAAAATGTTCTATGCTTCCTAATTTTCATTAATTCAGAGTACCTTCCTTGAAAGTAGTTAATTCAAAATTAGAGAAAGTTTTACAATATTAAGAATTAAGATAAAAGATTTTGTTATTTTAATTATTTAACACACAACAAAACATGACTGATTAAGAACTACAATATTAAACTGAAGATTATTCATATAACACAATTTTGCATTTCAAGAGAAATTAGCTTGGAAATATTAGTTTCAAAGGTTAGGACAGCCTACCCCAGGGCCTACACTCCTAAATTCTGTTGTAAAGAACTTCCCATTTGGCCCTCAACGAACACACAGTAAAGGATTCTTAGAGTGTCAATCTAATTTTCCTCACCTGGTCTGCTGAAAACCCTATTGTATGAACACCTGAGGATTGGCAGATATAGCTCAGTATCTTTAATTTATTCTTTGGTTTCTCCCCAGCACCACAGAATTCTAAACAGTGACCAATACATCACCGTCTCACAACCTATCCACAGGTAGCGTGAGGCCGACTGTTTGGCAGCTATCCTTTAGAGTAATTTTGAATACAATCCCTGACCTATATTCTTCTGAGATTTTTATGGAAGGTATTGTATGTTAATTTTTCATCTTTAAAAATAAACCTGATTACTTATTCTGTCTTACAAGCAGTATAAACAAAGTTATTATTCAGGTACAGATATCAGACTGTAATTATTTCTACCTTAAACAGTTCACCTAACATTGATACATTAAAATGTTCACCTGGGTAATTCTTGTGTATACTTTGTCAAGTAGAAATGATAAGAAAATTAGTTTAAAACTTAAGATCAGACTTCAAATGGTGAATAAAGTGGGCACTTAAAGGCCTGAACATGTTAGTGCATTCTCTGCCAACATCCTTTATAAAAACGTACCTGCTGAACTGAAACTAATATAACACTGCATGTCAATTATACTTTTAAGGAAAATGATGGGGGGGGGTCCCTATTGACCATTACTCCTGCATATAATGGTTATATATTTTCTAAATTCTATGTTCACCTCAACGGAAATAAAAAACTTATGCAGAATATGCTTTCATATGAAAAAAAAAAAAGCAGGCACAATTCTCACTGTGCACCATCACTTGGATACAATTGCAGTATCATCTAATTACCTCAATTAGTTACAGAAGTGCTTCTTAACTATTGTTTAAAAGAGGGAAAATCTAATTTTATATGGTTCAGGAGGCTGCCTGTGGTTGGATGGGGTGGCCCTGGGATTCCAATCTCCTAAAGCCTTCCCAGCTGCACAACAGGGCAGGAAACGATTATCATGAAAGCTCTATATCCTAGTCTGTGTGATGGCTGGAAGGCTCAGAAGTACACTATGATGATCTATTTTTGCCTAAACAGCTTCAAAATTTCGTAATAGTTCTGACAATATTTTCAGGAAAAATATGCTCCATAAACCCACCTTGTGTATTCTTCTTGTAACTTGTTAGGGTCACTTACAAAAAATTTGACTCTAAAGTTCAAACTGTAAGGAGATCCTCCTAGAAGTAATAAAAGCAATTCTAATTAATTAGATTATATTAATCCTTTATCTTTATAAAATATACTTGCAAAACATCAAGTAAATATGTATGCTCACTCTTTAGCTGCTTCCTTATAGGTTTGTTTGGATCCAGCCACCTCTGAAAAATAAATAAATAAGACTGATTTCTTTTTCCCTTGAGGAGCGAATATATCAATTGTTGCAAATCTGTAACATCTGAAGATCGCTGCTAGAATCTGCATTTTTAAAAAGGTCTAGGAAAAAGTACTCAATTTATAGATATTCATATCAAGGATAACAAAATTAATACTAGAAATACTGAATGTATTTGTGGTAGCTCTAAAGTTTTTATTTGAAATTAATCAGTGTCCAATAACCTCTATTCCAAAACTAAAAATGTTTAATTACAGAATTGTGAAGTGATTTCTGTTAATTTAACTATATTACGTAACCGTGTGGCAAGTTTTCTAAATTCTTGGTACCTTTCATAAAAATACAGTTGGCCTTATCTAATTCAAACAAAATCTAACTACACACCATGAAAATATACTCTTAAAAAAATTTTCTAGCTTCTGCACAGCCAAGGAAACAACCCAGAAAATTAATAGGCAACCAACGGAATGGGAAAAGATAGTTGCAAATGACATATCAGATAAAGGGTTAATATCCAGAATCTATAAGGAACTCACCAAACTTCACACCCGAAAAACAAACAACCCAGTGAAGAAATGGGCAGAAGACATGAACAGACACTTCTCCAAAGAGGACATCCAGATGGCCAACAGACACATGAAACGATGCTCAGCATCCCTCCTCATCAGGGAAATACAAATCAAAACCACACTGAGATACCACCTCACGCCAGTCAGAGTGGCTAAAATGAGCAAATCAGAGAACTCTAGATGCTGACGAGGATGTGGAGAAACGGGAACCCTCCTACACTGTTGGTGGGAATGTAAACTGGTACAGCCCCTCTGGAAAACAGTGTGGAGGTTCCTCAGGAAACTAACAATAGAACTCCCTTATGACCCAGCAATAGCACTGCTAGGAATTTACCCAAGGGATACAGAGGCATAGGAGCACATGGACCCCAATGTTCATAGCAGCACTCTCCACAATAGCTAAAACATGGAAAGAGCCTAAGTGTCCATCAACAGATGAATGGATCAAGAAGATGTGGTTTATCTATACCATGGAATACTACATGGCAATGAGAAACAATGAAATCTGGCCATGTGTAGCAACATGGATGGACCTTGAGGGTGTTATGCTGAGCGAAATAAGTCAGGCAGAGAAGGACAAATATCATATGTTTGCACGTATAGGAGGATTAGGAGGAACTTGACGGAGGAACAAGGGGGAGAAGAAGGGCGGAAATGGTGGGGGAAAGGGAGAGAGGCAAACCATGAGAGACTCTTGAATGCTGAGAAAAACTGAGGACTGATGGATGTGGGGGGGAGGGGGGTTGGGCATGGAGGAGGGCACTTTGGGGATGAGCACTGAGTGTTATGTAGAAACTAATTTGACAATAAACTATTTGTAAAAAAAAAAAAAAAACATTAAAATAAAAAAAAAATTTTCTAACTTCTACCCTATTCTTTAAAAAATAAAACTATCTCCCCTCTCTCCCCTCCCCCAAAATAAACCTCCACATTAATTTTGTAAGAGACAGTGTTTAGTTTGGTGAAGGATTGATTTTTGGGTGTGAGAATTTTAAATAGCCTCAACACTTCCCAATGCCAGTTAAGTTCTACTTCAGGAAAACTATAACTGAATTCAGAAAATATTTCAACCGCCAACATGTTTCATTTAAAAAAATTAAAGACCCCACAATGAGTAATAGATGTGGCAGTACTTTCAAAGCACTACACAAATATCAGCTTACATCATTATGTATAAACCATACTCCCCCGCCCAGACTTGATTCCATGCAGAACACATAGAAATTTTAGTAACAAATAGCTGACATTAATTCGTAAATCTTCCCTTTCCATGATCCACAACATCCAACACATCACATCCAGCTGATCCTACCTTCCACCTATACCCAGAATTAACAGTTCTTCTCCATCCATTCTGCCACCATCCTATATCTGGGATAACTCTGGCCATAGCCTCTTAATTGCTGCCTCTGCTTCTTTTTTAACCAAGTTCTTCATTCTCCATCCGGAAGCAAGTGTAGGCTTTTGAAACATGTCCCTTCTTTCTTTAGTAGCTCTTGATATTTTCTCACGCAAGGTTCTAAGTCCTCACTAGGGCTTGCACAATCACTTCTCACCTCAGTCTACTAAGCTCCAGCCATAACGGCCTCCTGTTTCTCACAGATGGGGTCTTCGATTAGAAGCTCCCTTATGCACACCGTGTTTTTCCTAACTTTCCCATGGCTGACTCTTTCCATTACCTGTTAAGTCTCCGCTTAAAGACTATCTCCTCAGAAAGGCCTTCACTGATCACTCTATCAAAAGTATGTCATGAAGTGGTGCCTGAGTGGCTCAGTAGGTTGAGCATTCATTCAACTCTTTTGATTTTGGCTCAGGTCATGATCCCAAGGTCATGGGATTGAGCCCCACATTGGGGTCCATGGTAAGCATGGAGCCTGCTTAAGATTCTCTCTACATCGTCTCCTCTCCCCTGCTTGTACTCTCTTTCATATATATATATATATATATATATATATATATATATATATACACACACACACACACATAAACTATGTCACAAATTTATGCCTTATTTTCTGTAAATAGGCAAGGGATGTTAATTTTCTTCACAACATTTTAATTGTAATATTTGTTTTGCTCTTTTATTGCCTAGCTCCTTCATTAGATTATGAACTTCATGAGGTAAGGGATAAAATCTGATTCATTCAAAGCTGAAGAGTCAACACCTAGGCACAGGGCCTGGCATATAGTATGTATCGTAAAAGTATACTGAAGGACTGAATAAACCTGCTGAATGGCTCAACAGCTGACACTGTGTGTGTGTGTGTGTGTGTGTGTGTGTGTGTGTGTGTGTTGCTTCTGCACCAACAATCAGCTGTTTTTCACCCCTAGATGACACATTTGCTTCCCCTGCAGATCTACCCATTTATCCATCTTCCAATCCATCTCTCTTCTGATGATTTCATTCTTCATGTTTTTTTAGAAAAAGTGGTAACTTACATTCATTTTAATGCTTGTCTAAAGACAAAATTTGGGCTCAGGTAATCTATTCAAAGCCTGCGTTCTACAGTCAGTTCTCCTTTAAAATATTCTAAAATAGTATCAGAGAAACAAACACATTTACATACACAAATAGATATATTAAACTGACAAAGCTGAGGAGTACAATAATAAGTACTGGGAAATTTTTTTTGAATTGGAGAGAGAGAGAGTGTGTGTGCATGCACAAGTGAGTGGGTGAAAGGGCTAAAGCCAGCTCCACACTCAGCATGGAGCCCGGTGTGGGGCTCAATCCCACAGCCCTGGGATCATGACCTGAGCCAAAATCAAGAGTCAGACACTAACCAACTGAGCTACGTGGGCCGCCCTAAGTACTGGGACATTTAATAGAAGTCACCAATGAGGTCAATGAGACAGGACTTCAATTCTTGGCTTAACCCATGAAAATGGAACAAGTATATAATGAGCGCCACTGGACAGTAAAGACTATTCCTAGTAAAAACACATCATTAAGTCAAAAGAAAAAACAAAGTGAGAAAAGAGAAAACATATAAAAAAGTTCTACAAATCAGTAAGTAAAAAACCAGCATTCATAGAAATATGGGTAATGGGCAAGAACAGAAATTCACAGAAATTTAAATGACATTTAAGTTATGAAAAGATATTCAATCTTGATCATAATTAGAGAAATATAAAAGTAATTTATGTTAGCTTTTCAATTTTCAGCAATAACACACTGGCAAAGGTTAAACATTTAATGCTGTACCACAATGGCAAGAATGTGGAAAAGAGGCACATATACATAGCTTGTGAGAATCAAAATTATGCCATCTCAGTGTAGGACAACTTGGCAATATTTATAAAAACATAAAATGTAAATGACCATAGACCCAGCATTATTTTATATAGTAGTATTTACTGAAATATATTTTACACAATATAAAATTCACCATTTTTAAAAAATTTATTTCTGAGAGAGAGAGAGAAACAGCGTGAGAAGGGGAGGGTCAGAGAGAGAGGGAGACACAGAATCTGAAACAGGCTCCAGGATCTGAGCTAACCATCAGCACAGAGCCCAACGTGGGGCTTGAACCCACGAACCGTGAGATCACGACCTGAGCCGAAGTCAGCTGCCCAACCGACTAAGCCACCCAGGTGCCCCAAAATTCACTATTTAAAAATGTATACTTCAATGTACTTGAGTACATTCACTATGTTGTGTAACTATCAATACTAAATAATGTCAAAAAACTTGCATTACCCCAAAAAGAAATCCCACACCTATTAACAAGTCTCAGTACCCCCCTACCCACAGCCCCCAGCAACTGTTATTCTATTCTACTTATGAACTTACAGATTTTACTATTTTGGACATTTTATATGAATGCATTCATACTGTGCCTAGCTTCTTTCTTCTAGTATAATGTTTTCAAGGCTCATCCATGTTGTGGCATTTAACAGTGCCTCATTCCATTTTATAGCTGACATTTAGGTTGTTCTTATCTTTTGGCTCTCATGAATAACACTACTATGAACATCCGTGTACAAGTTTTGTGTGAACATGTGACTCAGTTCTCTCAAGTGTGTGTCTAAGACTGGTAATGTCTGGTCATATAACTCTGTATTAACCTTTTAAGGAATTGCCAAATTTACTTCCATATTACATCTACCATCTATCTAAAAGGATTCCAATTTCTTTGCTATTAACTGTCTTTTTAACTAGGTGTAAAGTGGTATATCATTTCTTTTAATTGATAAATTATATTCTACTCTATGGATATATGACTTGGTTTATTAGTTCATCAGGGGGTGGACATGAGTGTTTCTCCTATCTATTAGGAATAATGCTGCTATGAGCATCTGAGCAGTAACTTTTATGTGTAACATGTTTTCATGTTTGGGTAAATACTGGGAGTAGAAATGCTTACAGTACTTTTTTGTATTATGTCCTGAAAACAAGTATTGCAAGGTCTCTAAT